CTCACGATAAAGCGGATTTTAAAAAATCTCGCACTATGTGCCCGAGGTACTACGTTATATCGAGAGCCACTGTGTATACTGTAATATTAAATATCACTCAGGTGCGAAGCATAAAGGTTGCAACTGATAAGTCGTATAAATCTTAAAAATTTTTAGATGTTAGCTGTTATATTTATATGCTATCTCGATAACTTTTTTTTAAAGAGCAATCTTATATATAATAACTGTAAAATTAATCCATAATCCCGGGCCGAATTATGTTAGTCATGGGCCAAAACTATCTTAATGTCGGCTGAGTATTTGTAGTACTGTCGACACATAAAAATGACCTAATTTGTAAAAGGTATATAAGAGTCTTTTTTTAGTCTTGTTTACATCTTTACATCTTCATATCTTCATATTTTCACTTTCTTCATACATTTTTTTTTAGTCGACATCTTTGATGAGAATTTTCACTTTCTTCGTACATTTTTTTTTTTTGCACCTGAATCATGTGATGCTAATACAATTCGACATCTTTGATGAAGAATCATTTAACCGGAATTGATTCAAGATAAATGCCGCACTATTTTACACAATCTGCTTCCTCCGACCTTCGTGACTTCATCACACCAACTTCTATACAAAGTGCCCTATTTGCCAGATCTATTAACCTAATACAACACAAAAAAATGTCGTTTCGCTATTATGTATGCTTTCATTTTGCCAGCATAAAAGGTGAGTATTTATTTGATCTCACATTGAATCCCCGACAACTACTCCTGACATCCGAATTGTATCTTCGAAAGTAGTAGTAGCTTTGGGTGATACAAGTGGTCACCGAGTAGAAATATTTCTTGAAGACTGTTGGGAAATTCTGATAGTTCTTATTACCACGTGCTATGCGATTTTCTGATTCAAAGTTATTTCATTACTCATATATCTTTTTTTATTTTCTTCTTTTACTGGGTCGAAGGTTAACTTCCGTTCGTCGGTTTATAAGAATTTAATTATCGGAAAATATAATAGGAAAACCAAGTCCTTGTTTTCCAGTAGATATAAAAATGTTTTTGAAAGATATGGATGGTGAAAAATTCAATTTCGATTCGAAATTATTCCTTCGAATTAACATCCGCAATTGGTATAACACCAGGGGTATAAGTGCACTACCTGGTGTATTAAATGTTGTCCAAGTAGATAATAGATGGTAATAACAACAACAACAACAACAACAATAATAATAATAATAATAATAATAATAATAATAATAAGGATATAATGTAATAATATCAAGTTATGATAATTTGTAATTATATACTCTACATTTCTTGTTAATAATATATCGAAATTACTTTTTTTTTTCAACTAGAACTTACCCCACAACTTTAAGAAAAGAATAAATCGAAGTTATTATTAGGACTCTAGGGCTCAAAATAAGAATGACAAAACAGAACTTGAAGTATTATTAAAAACACTTCCGCCTATATATTATCCTAAACTAGATGAGAGAACCCACTTCAAAATATATTTATTATTTAGACTAATAGAAATCCCTCAATTATTTAATTTATATATCTTTAAAGCAAACGAACCACTAAAGAAGTACTGCCCGCTCTCATACTTTATTGATTTTATAATTTTGTATATATCAACATATAAATAAAGTTTATAAATAAATGAGTACGTAGTAATAAAATTATACATTTATCATTGATTGTGTATTGCGATTTTTTTCTATAATTATTAAGCATATTAGCGTTAATAAAAATTGCTAAATATGTATCAAATAATGATACGTATAATTGGTCATTTGACGTTCTGTTCTGCCTTTTGATAATAACCGTGATAAGCTCAGTATAAACAATAGTATATAGTTCTAGTCGTGTTTATTTTTTGAACTTGGAATCATTCCTTAAACTAAAATCGTTTACAATGTCAAATATTAATACCTCTACTACAGCTGCCTCTTCATCTACTCCAACAATATATCGATCTTCTCCAACTACCTCGAGCAATGATTTGAGGGAAACAAGTCCTTCACTTAAATCACAGAGGCTTTCTTCGAGAGTTTCAAAAGCTTCATCGCCAACATCAAGTTTACCAACTAGAAGACCCCGTACTTCAGCGTCTTCACGCGTTGCAGGTCGTGGGGAATCTCATTCATTTATTGTTGCTATAATTGAAGGTCGAGGTATATTGATATTTCAAAAGCATTGTTTTGTGTTTCGAACATAAGATTTGTGCTTTATTTTAAATTTTTTGCCAGGTGTTGCAAGCGAAGTTGGAATGTGCTTTATTGATTTAAAGACAAGCGAATGCATATTATCTCAGGTATAATTTTTTGTATAATAACATAATAAATCAATTAAAAGTAATTATTTAATTTTTAATTCATTGAAGATTGCCGATTCTCAGACTTATGTAAAGACTTTACATAAATTGAACATTTATAATCCTGTCGAAGTATGCTGCCAATTTGAAGTATTGTTTCAAATTTTCTCATTCTTTGTCATTACTAATTTTGTGGTTTGTCTCAAGATCTTGCTGTCAGCAACTGCGGTTGAACCTTCCAAATCAAAGTTATGTAAAATCCTTGAAGATAATATGCCGACGGCAACTATTGTGCCGATTGGAAGAAAATATTTTAACGATGCTGCTGGTATGAGATTCTCTCTTTTTCTATTGTTTAATACTTTGTGGGTCATAATTTAACAAGATAACATTTTATATGTATTAAGGATTAAATTATATAAGACAAGTAGGTTATTAACATAATTGTTTTTTTCAATTAAATGTTAATGAAATTATCTCTTTTAAATTCAGTATAATTTGGAAGAAGGTTCAGCCTTAATACTTGGTTTGACCTCCAAGTAAGCTCGTTCTTAATTTTTTTTTATAGATTTGTAACATATTTATATAAAAAGCATTATCATTCAAATAAAATTAGATTTTATTGCCTTGCTGCAACGGCAGCAGTATTAAAGTATGGTTCTATTAAAATGAATATTGTATATTTGTTCGAATTATTTATGATAATATTTATTTTAGGTACATTGAAAGCACTCAAAATATTTTTTTTACAAACCATTCCATCCAATTCAAGTATAAAGGATGTGAAGGTAAGATCTTTAAGTTACAATTAATATGTTATAGCAGAATATACGACTGACCTATAGATCATATTTATAGGAACAATGATGATTGGTATTTTTTTTTCTGATAAAATGATTATTCTTTTTCTATATGATAGAAATGACATACATACCATATTTTCAAACTTTTAGATTGTGTGACGGCTCGCAATCTTGAGCTTATTTGCAACATCGTCAATCCGCATAATAATCACTCACTTTATGGTATGCGAAGAAAAGAAACAACATTGATAAATTATTTCTTAAATCCTTATGTTTTTTTTTATATTTTTGAAGGTGTTCTGAATAGCACTTTTACTCCTATGGGAGGTAAGCATTTTTTGACATTTTGATAGTATATAAGAAATTGAAATAATATTTCATTAATTTGGACAGCTCGTTTGCTGCGGACGAATATTCTTCAACCATTGAATGGTAGTATCATTTTTACTTTTTATTACAAGTCACCCTCATTAAAAAACAATCTTCATTATAATTTATATGTACCCATTATGTCGAGTCGTCAAATTCTTCATTATATCCGAATCTTCACTATATCAAGAGTTCACTATAATGAGAGTGATTTGTAGTCTATTGAATCGAGTTCTTGTTGATCGTACTAAGTTAACGCTTTTTTTAACAAGACATTGACACAATTAATATGCGTTTGGATTCTGTTGAAGGCATGTTGCACTTTGTTCATTTATCAATTTTCTCGCTTTGTAATAATAAATTATATAAATTATATATATAGAACTTATCCAGAACGAGGTATTATTCTAATTAATAACAACTTTATATATAAATTCATGATCTCTTGATGTGATTTCATATTGTTTACCTAGGAAACATTCTTCTCAATTCAAGCGGGTAAGTTTTCACGATAAATTCAATCAATGATGTATCTTAATTCAGGCTACAATCTTTCATGAATAGAATTTGCAATATGCTTTAGATTTTTTAATTTGATTTTTTTTTTTTTATTCACATAGCTCTCAAATCATTTCAAGATATAGATCATTTAATTACAGCCGTAATGAATCAATTTTTACACGCATTTGTTAATTTCCTTATTACATATACTCTTAATTAAAATAAAAACCTCCGTTGCTATATTATTACAGTTAATTCAAGTTCCTCAAAAACCATCTATTAAACATGCTGAACAAAGTATCAATAATGTGATCATGCTTAAACATACATTGAAACTAATTGAAAAATTGAAAGAGGCATTGGGTGAATGTAAAAATTCTTTGTTATGTGCAATACATAAGGTAGGATGAGTAACAGAAATACGTGTCGCGATATTTAATGCAATTACATAATCGAAAATCTCATGATGCCCATAGCTTCTTTCGGATCCGAGACTGGTTATGTTCGAAGAACGTATAAATGAAGTAATAAATGAGGACATTACGTATCAAAAAAGTTCTCTTGGACTAAGAAATCAACGTTGTTATGCTGTTAAGGTAAATATATACATAATTATTTAATTTTAAGGTGACTGAATATTAATCGGTACTTTATTTAGGCAGGATTCAATGGGTTATTAGATGTTGGCAAGTATAAAAAAAATCGTATTGCACGAAATAGTTATTATTTATAATTATAATTTTAAAATCTATTTTACCGTATTTTAGCTCGACAAACTTACAAAGAAACCGTCAATGATATATACGAAAAAGTGGAACAATATAATCGTAAGTTAATAATGTGGAAATATGACAAAGAATCTTTAAAAGTATAATACGATACGAAATATTTCTTTTTCTTTTTGTTTTTAGAACAATATGATATTCCATTGAAAATACAATTTAGTCCGACAACAGGATTTTATTTGTCAACTTCAGCTGAAAATTTGGACAATCGTCAACTTCCTCTTGTATTTATCAATGTTAGCAAGAAAAAGAAAACATTGACTTTTACTACATTAGAATTGGTATATACTTAACCTATTACTGTATTTAGTTCTATGTATTTTACAAACAGATTATAATACTCTAATTTTCATGCTTTCAAGATGAAAAAGAATACTAAAATTAATGATTCTTTAACTGAAGTTTACTTAATGTCAGACAAGTATGAAATTTACTCAATAATGCCCGATTATTTAATCGATTTCATCTTATCGTTATGTAATTTGTAAGAACAATCGAAGATCTGATCTTAGAAATACGGGGTAGCATTGTTGTCCTTTATAAGGCATCAGAATCAATTGCCATGTTGGATATGTTAACATCTTTTGCTCATCAATGCACTGTTTCAAATTATGGTAAAAACGACTCTTGTTTGCATTCAATCAATCACATTTAAATACATGCATAAATAATTTTATTTTTAAAAATTTGTGAAAGTTCGTCCTGAATTCACAGACACGTTGGCTATTAAAGATGGAAGACATCCAATGCGCGAATTCCTCTACACTGATCATTTTGTTCCTAATGACACATACGCGAGTGACGCCACGAATTTTCAGTTAATAACTGGACCAAATATGAGTGGCAAAAGTACTTATTTAAGACAGATCGCCTTGTTGAGCATTATGTCACAGATTGGATCATTGTGAGCAAAAATCCACTTTATTCTTTTCTATCATTTTCCCGACATACAATGTCAAAATTCCGAGAAGTTAGCCCGCATTAGGTTAGGTTAGGGTTAGTTCTGGTCAATTTTTGTCGAGATTTTGATTTTAGGGAAAGTAGTTGTCGGGAAAATGATAGAGACCTGTTTATTTGAACATTTAAGTTACAACATCAATTTTAGTGTTCCCGCAGAATACGCATCTTTCAGACTGGTAGATCAGGTATTTTTAGATAACATATACATATTTTGTTGAATATTTGTTTGATTCTAAATTTAATCTTTATAAAGCTTTTTACACGTATATGTAATGATAATAACATTGAACCCAACGCAAGTACTTTTATCGTTGAAATGCGAGAAACAGCATACATCTTGCAAAACATAACTGACAATAGTTTGGTCATCATAGATGAACTCGGAAGAGGTGAAAACATGTTCAAATTAATAGTTTTCAATTTATTTCAAAAAATTAATATACATCTAAATTACAAGGAACATCAACCCATGATGGACTGGGTATAACGTATGCTATTTGTGAAGAGCTTTTAAAAACAAAGGTAAATGACGAAATTGTTGGAAATTTTTATAATTTACTTGGTTATTAAATAGTAATTTTCTTGGAATAGGCATTCATTTTCTTTGCTACACATTTTCACGAACTCACGAGAAGCTTAACTGTCTTCCCTAATGTAGTAAATTTGCATTTGGAAGTCGAAGTAATAAAAAAATGTTCTTTATCAGTTGTAAATTTTGTTAATATTTTGACTAAACTATATATTTATAACCGAATAGCTTGGTGAAGAAAATAGACGAGCAGCTATGAAATATTTATACAAAGTAAAGGATGGAAGAAATGATGACGAACATTATGGTGCGTCTTTAATTTTATTTCTATAAATTATGAGGTGATTTTTACACGTCTATATTTCAGGGTTAAAGTTTGGGCAGATTGTTGGATTACCTGATGATATAATTCAAAAAGCTACCGAAGTTTCGCATAAGGTTTGAATTTCATCATTAAATTTCATGGTAATTACATTATGAACAAATAATCAATTTGTACTATATTCTATTTAAAGTTAAAGGACCTTATCGATGCTAATAAAGAGAAATCGTCTTCTAACAAAATAACTCAACGTAGAAAGGCATTACTTCAAGTACGTACGTAAATTTTATCATCGGTGATTAGCTGTATCAATAATCTTGCTTACTAAAATTTCGATATAGCTATCTCAACACCTATTGCAAATTAAAAGATCTTCTAACTTGGATCAAGATGGATTAAAAAGGTACCTTAAAATGGTTCAAGAGGAGTTTATTACTAGAATGGAAGAATTAATGTAATGAATTGATAGTCATTTACGCAGCATTACATAATACTACGTAATACTGTACGCACATACACAGTTGAAATCACAATTATTGTTTATATATGTTCTAGTACGTCCGTGAACTTTCAAAAATTGGAAATGTATTAATAATAATAAAAAAATCATGCCATCATTTCGTTGGCAGGAATGTATTTTGACAATTATAAATCGGGAGATCTATCAATGATGGAGTCAATACGTATTAATGCGGTAAAGATACGCATATACGTGATTACCGAGTTTAGTAATTGAACTAAAATATAAGCGTACAAAAACTTTTTTTTTCTTTGCTTTTTTTTTTGTGCATCCATCAAATTTTGCACAGAAATAAAATCGCTCCGAGTAATAAAATACTCGAATCAATTTTTTAAATCAAATTTTGTATTTTTATTCAAAAAAAAAAATGTCTCAAAACTTACGTAAAGAAGCTGCTACTCGAGCTTCTCGACGCGCGAGTAGTAATGCTAAACCGCTGGTTTCCATTTATACGAGCGGTACACCCCTGAGCAGTCGTCATAATACTGACGAAGAGGACGTATGGAGTGAAACTTCAGCAGACACTGTCGATTCTTGGGCTTCTGCTGGCAGTAAGAATGCTGAAGATGGAGTTTTGGAGGAAGTAAATTGGGAAGACGAAGTTCTACAAAATATTGAAGATTTAGGAGAAAAAAGAACAAGGTGTTATATTATTTTATTATAGTTTCTAGAATTGGATCATGCTCGAAATTTACTATTTTTATTTAAAATTTTGACAATTTTCCATTTAGTACAAGAGAAGGATCTTTAGCAAAATTGATCCGCTTTCTCTCTCTTAAGTATGCGGCAGATCTTCTTGATTCTAGACGTGAGACTTTACTGGATCTTTTGTGCCGCTCGGTCAGGAAGGATAAAAGTTATAAAGAGAGTCGATTAGCTGCTAAAGGTTTGTAAATAAAAAATGAATGCATATATATATATATTGATGTTAAAGATATTAAGAGTTTATCTAAATTTATTCATTATTAACATTAGTGATGTCGTTACTTTTTATTACTATTGGTGAAAGCCAAGAATCTATGTATAATAATGTATTATCTTTATTGAAATATACTATAACAAATAATGCATCAAAAGAAGTCAAGTGTGCTGTAAGTACAAATATTGATATGGACAAGATTCGTGATTAATTATTTTATATGCTATTAAATTAAATATAATTAATATATACTTTTTTTTTCAATATCCAGTGTATCCAGACATTAAGTCTAGCATGCTTTATCTCAGCTTCATATGCTGATGCCATAGAGCTTCTCAATTTTTTCAATGATATTATATTGACTAATGGTAAAAGTGTTAATGCAAATAATGAAGGAAGTGTAATAGAAAGCGCTCTAAACGCCTATGGTTTACTATTCTCTGGGCTATGGGGTGATAGTAAGAGAAGCTCAGATAAAGCTAAGGAAGAATTTGAACATATTATGCCGGGTCTTATTAAACAGCTTGAATCTAGCACTATGGAAGTTCGGTTTGCTGCGGACGAATATTCTTCAACCATTGAATGGTAGTATCATTTTTACTTTTTATTACAAGTCACCCTCATTA